ATAATAATAATAATAATAATAATAAATAGCATTTGTATAGCGAATGTTCCTACGAGACAGCAGGCTCTATGCACTTTACACTATATTATTACCCCAGCAGACCATAGAACACTCAAAAACATCCTCAGCTTCCCGGGAAGCACACAGTGCAAGCTGCAAGCAGCTGGTTAAGCGCTCAAACACTAACAAACTGACAAGATCTTTCACTGTCTATAGCCGGGTACCCATTCTCACCTGGGTGAAGTGGGGAAATTTCGTGTAAAGCGCCTTTCTCAAGGACACAACGTCGGGCCTACGCTTATAATTACGAGTCCGTTAGCCTAACCACGAGGCCACCGACTCCACGTACACAGGAGAAAACGTACCACATTTGTGAGGCACCGTGGTGAAATCAGGCGCTCGTCAAAATGAGCAAATAGAAGAAATCAGCATTTCCCCCACGTTCGACAGTTCCATTGAATTGTTGTTTTTTGGTTGGACACCTCAATTCAAAAACACACATATGTCGGGATTTTACCTAAAAACGTTGATTAAAAGTGTGAAAAATGTAAATTTGCCATTTCCAAGGACTCTCAAGCTTTGGAAGGTACCAAGCTTTGATGGTCATTTTCTCGTTAATTTTACCTCCCTCCTTCAATCACAAATATCTAGACTTCTATTGAAGATGGAAGAGTATTTTTCCCCTCTAAACCAAAGCAACTGAACAAGCTTTAGGATGATATCATTATCTCCTCAAGCCTAAAAATAAAGAACAAAAAAATGGATGCAGTTAAAGTTGAGAAAAAATACCTAACGTCGTGAACAGGTTGAAAAACCCCCCCAGCCTCCAAGTTACAGGAGTAGTTTTTGAACACGCCTCAATTCAATTTTCATATCCTTGTCAGACGGACCCCAACATGAGAACTTGTGCCGGAGGGTGGGTGGTTGGCGGGTGCTCTGGTGTGGTTTGCTTCTTCTTTCCTATCAAACATATATCGTCCTTAACTCCCCTTCTTCTTTTTTGTGTTTGTTGCTCTCTTGTAACACCTCTAATCTTCTGGCGCTCATATGACCTTATGCAGTTGCGAGCGCCGTAAAACCTCAACTAAAACTAAAACTAAAAGACTTGTGCCCGGTACTCGGAAGGAGAAAAAAAATACTAAGGAGCTGTCATTTTTTCGTACCTGTCCGGAAGGTTTCGGTGGCAGTGGAGATAACTCCGTCTGCAGTGTCGGCCGATATAGTGACGAGGTACAAGCTGCTGGGTCGGAGGTCACACTGCTGGTATGTGGTCACGCTAGAATCCAGGGTCAGAGGGGTCGGCTTGATGGTCTCCTCTGCTGTGGCTCGCCGCATCTCCAACTGTGAAATAACACGGGCACAATGGTTGATTGGAATGTTTTACAACCTCCCCCCCCCCCCCCCCCCCCCACCCCATCCTTACCCAAACTGACAGTTCTTAATACTATGATTTTATACCAGCCTTTTTTTCGGAAGTGGGAGGTAGGGGTGCCCTTTACTTGAATTCAAGATTTTTGGGTTTCAAAAAAAAATAAACTAATTCAAATCATTCGCAACATTCTAAAAAGGGCGCTGCTGTGTTGAAAACCAAATATAAATTTACATGACACTGAGCAACTCAAAACATGAGTTCAAAATTAACACCTCTTATCTATGGCACTTATATAACCTAGATCTATTTGTGAGGCAGCGTGGTGGAATCAGGCGCTCTTCAATTTTTGGGCATGTAGAGTTATTGGTATCATCTTAAAGCTTGTTTATTTGTCTTTATTTGAATGAAAAAAAAATCCATTAATCTTGAATACAAGTCGAGATATTTGCGAAAGAAGGAGGTGGGGGTCACCTATTTTCAGAGGTAAAATTAGTAAGAAAATGGCCGTCAAAGATTAGTTATTTCCTTAGCTTAAGAGTCCATGGTAACTGAAAATTTACATTTTTTTGTACCTTTAATCAACGTGTTTCAGAAAAATCCACACAAAAATGAGTTCTTTAATGGACATGAAAGGTGTTGAGCCAAAAAACAAAAATCTGATAAAAATTCACAAACTGGCGGAAAAATGGAAGTTTCTTCACTTGACGAGAGCCTGATTCCACCACGCTGCCTCCCATCTGTGCTGCAAGTGCTGTAAAACTCATACTGGAACAAAACTTTAGATACAGCTTCCTATTCTGTTCCCATCTGGAAATCAAACCCACAATCTGATGAATGTGAGTCAAACTCCACTCCCACCAACCGCCCTGAGTTTAGTTTTAGTGCTAGTTTTGCTGAACTTGAAACGCACATAGGTCATGTAAGTGCCGAAAATTAGAGGTGTTACTAGAGAGCAACGAACAAATACCAGATGAGGACGATTGACTTTTAGTTTTGGTAGAGGTTTTACGGCGCTTGCAACTGCATAAGGTCATATGAGCGCCAGAAGATTAGAGGTGTTACAAGAGAGTAACAAACATAAAAATGAAGAAGGGGAGATAAGGAAGATAGATGTTTGATAGGAAAGAAGAAGCAAACCACACCAGAGCACCCGCCAACCACCCACGGACAATTGGTGTTTCATTAAAAAGATGTAGCAAACCCCAGCAGAGCGAGCACCCACGAACCACCAACACCACCACACTAGACCGTCAACTCCATGGGACTCAACTCAAAATTTGAAAAAAGGAGGAACTTTCCTTGTGATCGCGACAGAAGACCATTTTTGCAAGACAACCATTATCATTATACTGTTTAACCCTAGAATGCCACTAATTTATCAAAGCTAGGTTATTTCATACCAATTTGAGGGTTTGGAAGATAATTTCAAGTAAAACAGTAACGGAAACGGAGTTTAGCTGAGGAAATATCGGTAGCGGAAATCCGCAACTCACAATGTACTGAGTGATGTTCTCTGCCCCCGTCTCCGGCGGCGTCCACTCAATGGTCAAACACTCGGTCGTCCTTGACCCCAGGTTCAGGGCGATGGCCTCGGCTGGGGGCGGGGCTGTCAGGGTTGTGGTCTGCTTGACCGCTCCATACGGGCCAGGACCCGCCTCAGTGCTGGCGGTCATCTGAGAACACGAGGGAACGGGTGGTTTGTTCGAGTAAAACAGAGTAAGTGAGTAAGTTTATTCAGTGTTTGAGGCTATTGGCCAACATCACATCACATAAAACACTCATTTGATAAGTAAAGTTTCCATAATGAATAAGTACAGGTTGTGCACATATCTCTTATCATGGGTCAAACATTGCATATTTCCGTATAACAGAGTATAACAGAGGAATATCAATGGAAGAATTGTCATTGAGAGCTGGGGAAAAGCTAGGTAAATAACAACAATAGAGGGTACGGATGGATGGTCAGGAAAAAGTAAGATAGATAGTAACAACAGAGGGAACAGATTTTTCCAAAACTCAGAAAGTCAAGTTTGACAAGTGTCTGATTTCACCACGAAGCCTCAAATGTTTGTAATATAAATATGACCAATAATGTGAGGCATGGTGGTGGAATCCGGCTCTCGTCAATTTTTGAGCATGTAGAGTTATTGGTATCATTGTAAAACTTGTTCACTTGTGTTTATTTGGATGAAAAAAATATCCATTTATCTTAAATACAAGTCGAGATATTTGCGAATGAATGAGGTGGGGGTCACCTGTTTTCAGAGGTAAAATTAGTGAGAAAATGGCAGCCAAAGATTAGTTATTTCCTTAGCTTAAAAGTTCGTGGTAACTGAAAATTTACATCTTTTGTGTCTTTAATCAACGTTTTTCAGAAAAATCCACACAGAAATTAGTTCTTTAATGGGCATGAAAAGTGTTGAGCCAAAATACAAAAATTTGATAAAAATTCACAAACCTGTAGAAAAATGCAAGTTTCTTCACTTTGATTATTTTGACGAGCGCCTGATTCCACCACGCTGCCTCACATATGACCAATTTACGTATTATTATGTGCACATGAGTATATAATGATTTAGATTTTTTAAATGCTAGCGTCTGGGATACGGAACTTTCGGCTGTGAGCAGTGCATATGGCTGTTTTAGACAATGCATGGGTGTGGCATCGTGGTGAAACCAGGTACTTGTCAAAATTGACTTACTGAGTTTTGGAAAACCACTCTTCAATTGCTCATGTGAAGAGAAGCACATCTACAGAAGAATGGTCGTTTAGTGCTGGGAAAAAGCTAGGTAAATAGCAACAACAGAGGATACGAATGGATTGTCAGGAAAAAGTAAGATAGATAGAAACAACAGAGGGAACAGATGAATTGTGAGGCAGCGTGGTGGAATCAGGCTCTCGTCAATTTTTGGGCATATTGAGTTATTAGTATCATCTTAAAGCTTGTTCATTTGTCTTGCTTTCGATGAAAAAATTACCCATCCATCTTCAATAGAAGTAGAGATATTTAGGATTGAAGGAGGTGGGGGTCACCTGATTTAAGAGGTAAAATTAGCGAGAAAATGGCCGCCAAAGCTTGGTAAATTTCAAAGCTGGAGAGTCCATGGAAACTGTAAATTTATATTTTTGTGCCTTTAATCAACGTTTTCGGTGAAATCCTCAAAGGAATGTGTTTGTAAATGGACACAAAAGGTGTTTAGCCAAAAAACAAATATTTGATAAAAATTGCTAAGCAGGGAGAAAACTGCTGTTTTCTTCGATTTCATTATTTTGACGAGAGCCTGATTCCACCACGCTGCCTCACAAATTGTTCATGTGAAGAGAAACACATCAACAGAAGAATGGTCGTTTAGTGCTGGGTAAAAGCCAGGTAGAAACAATGGAGGGAGCCGATGTTTTTCGTTTTTTTTAATTTTAGAAGAGGTTTTTCGGCGCTCGCAACTGCATAAGGTCATATGAGTGCCAGAAGATTAGAGGTGTTACAAGAGAGTAATAAACATAAAAAAGAAAGAGTGGAGATAAGGACAATAGATGTTTGATAGGAAAGAAGGAGCAAACCACACCAGAACATGTGATAGTTTGTTTGAGGTGAGAGAAGCACAGTCGTTTTATAGAGCATGATTGAGTAGATGTTTTACGGCACTATCGACACAATTTGGTCATTTTATAGAGCAGGGGGAAAAAACAACTAGGCAGAGAGAAAGAACAGAGGATACAAGAGGATTGTTCACGTAAAGAGAGGAACAAGTGTCGGGACTTTGAAAACTGTTGTGTCCTGGAAATGGTAAGTATTAAGTATGCACGTTTTGGGCCTTTGATCAATGTTTTTCAGTAAAATCCACACAGAAATATTATGTTTTTAAATGGAAATTTTATGGTGTTAAGCACCCCCCCCCCCAAAAAAAAAAAAAAGAAAAAAAAAAAAGAAAAAAAAAAGATTAAAATAAAATTAGATAAAAATTGCCCAAAGAGTGGAAAAATGTTGGATTCTTCGATTTCACCTAGAAATCGTGTTTGAGGTGAAATTTTGCAAATTGGGTTTATTACATATTATAGTACCTGGACACTTCCTGAACAATATCCAGAAACGTATGTAAGCCTTGCTACATCCTAACGCTGTGTTTTTTTGTCAGGTTTTTCTGCGAAAGCACATGTTGTCTAGCCTTTTCTTACCTGTATCAGCTGTTTTCTCACAGTTCTATTTTTTCCCCCTATTATCCCATTTTTCTGCTCTGTTTCTTGTTCAATTTTAATGTAACTTTCACAGGATACCAACAACACCTAGTTCTAAATTTTGGCTTGTTGAATTTTTATAATTAATGGAGTAGTTTTTGATTTATGGGCTTAGAAAGCATGAATTTTCCATTTTTTTAACTTTTTTTGCAACATCCCAATTGTAAGTATCATAAAATAAAAACTAAAAAATTCAACAAGCCAAATTTAAGAACTACAAATATACTGTTGGCATGTCAATTTAGAAGTGAATCGGTTAATAAATAAGGGAATAAAATGGGATTGAAAAAGGTATACAAAATACAATATGGCCGCTGTTTCCATAGCAACCGATTCACAATATACTTTTTGAACTATTGATTTAAAATCCCCAATAATACACGATGTCCCACACCAAATATGGGCACTCTAGGCCTTGTAATAGCCAAAATAAACCTCAGGTGCCCCACCAGCCCTTAATTTGACAAGCGCCTCATTTCACAATCAGGCCACATAAATCAAAACCAAACCTTGACATAATACAAAGTCTCCGGCTTCAGGCGGCGGGCTGTGATGGTATTAACGGCAGACTGAGCACTGCGAGTGACCGCCTCCGAGACCTGAAAGTCGCTGAACTCGCTGTAAACCAAAGTGAAGGTCAGCACAATTCCGTTAGCTTGAGACGGCGGCAGGAAGTCGGCGGTGATGGTGGAGTAGGTCATGCTGAGGCTTGTGATCTCCACAGAAGTGGGAACTGAAACAGAATAATACGTTTTGTTTGTTTTTTGTTTTTGTAAAGTGTTTTACAGCGCTCGCAACTGCATAAGGTTATATGAGCGTGCGGGACACATCTAATATTTTAGGTTGGTAGGAAATTTCGAATTTTGCACGGGTGGCGGCCGAAGCCTACTCTTATCGATTTTAGACCACCAAGGGATCTTTAACGTGCGCAACTTGCACACGGGCCCTCCAAGATTTTTCGCCCTTGCCCGAGAAGGCTAGGTGTAGATCTTTCCTACCAGAAGATCAGGGGTGTGGCAGAAAGACAGCAGTAAGGAGGAGCCAAGGAGTAGCAGTAGAAAGGCTGCAGAAAGAGTCAGGAGCCCAAAGGAGGGGGAAAAGGAGGTGAGGGGTGGGGGCAGAAAGTGGAAATGAAAGCAGGCAACATAACAATGCTAGAGAGCAGGAAAGAGGGTGAAAGGAGACAATTTTAGAGAAGAAAATTTCTTGGTCGCTACCCGGATTCGAACCCGGAACCTTTTGATTGAGAGGCCAACACCTTAACCTCTAGGCCACGAGAGCCCCGAATAATATGTACTGTACAACTTAGAAAAGGGATCTCTGATGTATAATACAACTTAGAAAAGAGATCTCTGATGTATAATACAACTTAGAAAAGAGATCTCTGATGTATAATACAACTTAGAAAAGAGATCTCTGATGTATAATACAACTTAGAAAAGGGATCTCTGATGTATAATACAACTTAGAAAAGAGATCTCTGATGTATAATACAACTTAGAAAAGAGATCTCTGATGTATAATACAACTTAGAAAAGGGATCTCAACAGAAGTGGGAACTGAAACAGAATATGTATTGTACAACTTAGAAAAAGTGATCTCCACAGAAGTGGGAACTGAAACAGAATATGTATTATACAACTCAGAAAAGGGACGTCTATAGATGTAGGGACTGAAACAGAAAATATGAGGCAGTGTGGTGAAATCAGGTGCTCGTCCAAACAATGGCATCAACAAAGTAACCAGCATTTTTCTGCCGGTTCAGCAATTTGGATAGATTTTTGTTTTGCCCTTTTATCTGAACACTTTTTATGTCCATTTAAAAACGCATTTCCATTTGGATTTAACTGAAAACTGTTGATTAAAGGCACAAAAAAGTACATTTTCAGTTTCCAAGGACTCTCAAGCTAAGGACGCAACCAGACTTTGGAGGCTATTTTCTTGTTAATTTCACCTCTGAAACCAGACGACCCCCACCTCCTTCAATTGCAAACATCTTGACCTCTATTCAAGACAGATGGGTATTTTTTTTTCATAGAAAACGAGGCAAATGAATAAGATTTCAGATGATACCAATAACTCCACACGCCCAACACATTGTGACAGAAATATATTATCACACTTAGAAAAGGAACTGCCACAGACTTAGGAACTGAGAAAGAAAAAGTATCATCACACTAATGCCTGTGATTTCCACAGAAGTGGAAACTAAATCTGAAAGTGTATTATCATACTAAGGCCAATGACTGTCTAATCATACTCATGTTGGGGATAACGGGGGGGGGGGGGGGGGGGCTAAATGAAATCTCAGGTAAGCAGAATTTTTATCAAGGAGTATCTCGGTCTTTCTGCTGGGATGTCGTTTGTATTTCTCTCAGCCCGAGTTGACCTTGATAAGCACAGGCAAGGTCAAAGCCCGCCTCCTTAAGAATCTAAATTGTGTCGATTTTTTTTTTAAAGGAGTTCCATAAATTCAGACAGGCTTCTGATCTGTAACAAAGAAAGATATAGAAGGCCATTTTTACCATCATCTATCATATTGCTTACATCTTAACCTTCTTGTATAAGTATACTTACGACCTTAGAGCATGCATCAAAATAACATTGAGGGTGCATCTAGCTTACAATTATTATTGTTTATATTGCTGCTCATTTATATTATGCATGTGATTGTAAGCCTACGTGTGTGGTGCGTGTGTGCATGTGTGCGTGTGTGTGTGTATGCGCATGTGTGTGTGTGTGTGTGTGTGTGTGTGTGTGTGTGTGTGTGTGTGTGTGTGCGTGTGCGTGGTGAAACACCAAACCAATGTGCCAGGATCTGGACAATAAAGATGTATCTTATCTTATCTTATCTTATAAGTCTGGTGCTCAATGACTCACCTCCTTGCATTGTGCTGAAAGTGAAGACTTTACTCAAAGGTCCAGGAGACTCCGTGTTCACGAACTTCAAGGTCACGGCGTACGTGGAATACGGCTCTAAGTTTGCTCGTTGGATACGTGCTTCATTCACATAGTACATGACGGGGCCCAGCCCTGTTATGTTCAAGTTGCTTAAGGTAAACTCATAAGACCTGAGAGGGATCAGAACACAGAGGGACATTTAGTAGAATAAGTAAATATGTGAGGCAGCGTGGTGGAATCAGGCTCTCGTCAATTTTTGGGCATGTAGAGTTATTGGTATCATCTTAAAGCTTGTTGACTTGTCTTTATTTGGATGACAAAAATATCCATTTATCTTGAATACAAGTCGAGATATTTGCAAAAGAAGGAGGTGGGGGTCACCTGTTTTCAGTGGTAAAATAATTGACAAAATGGCCGCCAAAGATTAGTTATTTTCTTAGCTTAAGAGTCTGTGGTAACTGAAAATTTACATCCTTTGTGCCTTTAATCAACGTTTTTTCAGAAAAATCCACACAGAAATGAGTTCTTTAATGGGCATGAAAGGTGTTGAGCCAAAAAACAAAAATTTGATAAAAATTCACAAACCTGTGGAAAAATGCAAGTTTCTTTACTTTGATTATTTTGACGAGAGCCTGATTTCACCACGCTGCCTCACATATAAGCATTGAGGTCTGATATAAGGACTCTACTGCCGTAAGTTGACAAAACGTCTTTTTCTTCTTCACAGCGGTTTCGAGAAAAAGAGTTTTTTTGTCAGTGTAACCATTTCAAAATAAAGTGATTCTGAAATTTGAATTCTAATTTATTAAAAATCAGTCACAGTTTCACTTTGATTTTTTCACACAAGTAGGGTAACTGATCAGACTTTTGATTTAGCAAATAAATTTTGGCGCCAAATTGAAAAAAAAGGCGTTTTGTCAGCTTACCGCAGTATACATGTGAAAGAGAAGAGACATAATGTAGTAAAATGTGAGGCAGCGTGGTGGAATCAGGCTCTCGTCAAAATTATGAAATCAAAGATACTGGCATTTTTCTGCCCGTTTGGCAATTTTTATAAAATTTTTGTTTTTTAGCTCAACAGCTTTTATGTCAATTTAAAAGCTCATTTCTGTGTGGATTATCCCGAAAAACATTGATTAAAGGTACAAAAATGTAAATTTTCAGTTTTCAAGGGCTCTCACGCATTGAAAGATTCCAAGCTTTGGAGGTCATTTTCTCCCTTATTTTTCCTCTAAAATCAGGTTACCCTACCTACTTCAATCACAAATATTTCGACTTCTAATAAAGATAGGTGGGTACTTTTTTCACCGTAAGATATACAAATGAACCGGCTTTAAGATGACATCAATAACTCCACATGCCCAAAAATTGACGAGTGCCTGATTCCACCACGCTGCATCACATATAGTAAAATTAGGAAATCAAACTTTGACTCTTGGTACACATACTGTACAGGTGAAAGAAAAGGAACATTTACTAGAATAAGAAAAAACCCACTGGCATTCGATTCATGTATTATACAAGGGAAAAAGGAGGGACATTTAATAGAATAAGAAAATAAACATTGACATTCAACACACAAACTATACAAGTGAAAGAGGGTAGAATGAGGAAATAAACATTGACACTCATTATTTATGCAAACTATACAAGAGAAAGAGGGTAGAATGAGAAAATAAACATTGACATTCAACACACAAACTATACAAGGGAAAGAGGGTAGAATGAGAAAATAAACATTGGCGGGTGATACACATTCTATACAGGTGAAAGAAGAGGGACATTTAGTACAATAAGAAAATAAACTTCCACATCAGACACACATACTAATATAATAATAATAATAATAATAGTAATAATAATAACGATGATAACAATAATAATAATAATTATAATAACGATAAGGCTAATATTATAATAATAATGCTAATAATAATAGTAATAATAACAATAATGCTAATAATAATAATAATAATAATAATAATAATAATAATAATAATAATAATAATAATAATAATAATAGAGAGCTTTTATGTTCTGTATTTCCATTTTCTAAAAAAATGTTCAATTCTGTGCAGTAATAGTTTCTTCATAAGGTAAATTACATGAAAGGGAAAGGCCTACTTTTGTAGAAGTCTTTTGTCTGAGTGTGAGGAGACACTCTCCGCTCTAGCTCCTACTTCAACAGTTGATTCATGAGGTAAATTACACTGGTGCCTGTGGTGTAGCGATTAGACACTGCATGTAGCATACAGGAGACTTGAGTTCGATTCCTGAGTGGGAAATTTTTTTATCAAGTATCTCAGTCTTTCAGCTGGGATGTTTTATCACTGTCAGCCCAGGTTGGCAGGGTTGGAAGCCTGTCTCCTAAATGATCTAAATTGTGTCGATGGGGCTGTAAACACGCATCCATTAACAAAAGAAAGAAAAAGGTTGTTGTTGTTGATGTTGTTGTTATTATCGATCCAGCAACAGCTGGGCTCTCGCCCTTCTGTCCAATGCCATGTAGCGATAAGTGCAGGTTTGCTGCAGTTGCTGTAATGTTCCGTAGAGTGTGTTGTCAATGTTAGGTCTCAGAGGGAGAAGTGTAGCTCTGATGTCATTTAGGGCTGAGCAGTGAGACAGGTGATGATTCACTGTCTCATCATATGCATAGTCACACAAAGGACAAAGGGAAAGGTAAATTACACAAAAGGTCCTTTTCTCTGGCCACAGGGAGGAGGGTCCCACGCCAGCTCCACCTCTGTGTCGGTCACTCGGGTCACATTCAGCACGGTCACTTGGCCAGTCGGGGCTGCAACATTGGTCAGAAAACTTCATGTTGGTGATAATAATAATAATAGACAGCATTTGTATAGCGCAGATCCCCGCTCAACAGCAAGCTCTTTGCGCTTCACAATCTATACTATTACCCCAGCAGACCTGAGAGCATTCTGAAACAACCTCAATTTCCTGGGAAGCATACAGTGCAAGCAGCTATATAAAGGCGCTAAAACACTAACAAACTGACAAGATCTTTCACCGTCTATGGCAGGGGTACCCATTCCCACCTGGGTGAAGTGGGGGCTCTCGTGGCCTAGAGGTTAAGGTGTTGGCCTCTCATTCAAAGGTCCCGGGTTTGAATCCGGGTAGCGACCGAAAAATTTTCTTCTACTCTCTACCAATGTTCTGTTGTCTGCTTTCGTTTCCACTTTCTGCCCCCACCCCCTCACCTCCTTTGCCCCCCTCCTCTGGGCTCCTGATTCTTTTTGCAGCCTTTCTACTGCTACTCCTTGGCTCCTCCTTACTGCTGTCTTTCTGCCACACCCGTGATCTTCTGGTAGGAAAGATCTACACCTAACCTCTCGGACAAAGGCGAAAAATCTCGGAGGGCTTGTGTGCAAGTTGCGCAGGTTAAAGATCCCTTGGTGATCTAAAATCGATAAGAGTAGGCTTCGGCCGCCACCCTGGCAAAATTCAAAATTTCCTACCAAGTGAAACTATTAGGTGTGTCCCGCGTGCTCATATGACCTTATGCTGTTGCGAGCGCCGTAAAACACTTTACAAAAACAAACAAAACAAAACAAACTGGGTGAAGTGAGGAACATTCGAGTAGAGTGCCTTTCCCTGGGACACAACGTTGGGCTCGCGGCTCGAACCCTCGAACCCACAACACAAATCAGCACTCTGAGATTATCTTCTAATCATTTCTAACCCC